ATTGGTTATAACTTAAAGCTAGCTAAAAAGCAAGTGCTAGGGAGAAGCTAATCGCCCCCTAGACTATAGATGAATAACCCTTTGAACTAAATCTCAGAATGGGCTACCCCGGCTATCTGGTGAACTTGTCAAATGGTCATTTGTTATGCAAAGGAACGCAGAAATGTGCTGCAAACTGTTTGTGTGGCGTACTTTATTCAAGTAGTTATCATATCCAATAGTTTTTGTAATTTTATGATGTGTTTTCTATCTTATAGTGCAGAGATTTTTACATTAATCAAATCCTTGCGGGTTTCCTGTGGAATAACACAATATACCCAAAATGCATTGCTGTATTAMATTGGTYGAGAAAGACTGGTACGRAGTCATGCTTTTCAAAATGGCGGAAACTTTGTAGTGTGTGTGCGTGAAGAAAATGCGTCTATAAATCGGCTTTTCGTGGACAAATTCTCAGGTTACTACTGTAATCTGCCTCCACTGATATTACTGATCAAATTAGCTTGGAAATTTTTGAAACGATGGCTTCAAATCCTGCAAAGTTGTCTCGCAAACGTAGCATCGACGAAATCGTAGAAACTTCATCTCCAGATGCTACTGAACATTCACAAAAAGGCTGGAAAGTCAAAACACTGGACGAAATACTCGCAGAGAAAGAGAAAAGAAGAAAAATCGACCAAGAACTGTTTGCTGTAGACGAAGAAAGCTCTCGCCAAAGTCGGAAAAGTTCAAATACTTCGAGYCCTGCATTGGTGATCGATTCGAAACCTACATCACAGAATCAAACTCCAACACAAGAAATCATATACCAACTTAGCCCTGACCACAACAGTCCATGTAAGTAATATTATTAGCGTATTACGAGACAGCTGTCAATCAGTTACCATGGAAACGGTTTTGGCATTCATGTAGTGCAACAAATTAAGTTACATTATGTAAAATAGACCTCTGCAGCTTTTACGTCATGTACCGTATACGCAATGCATTGTAGGATATGTTTGGGACAGAACATGGCGGATTTCTTTTGTTTTCTCTTGAAACTGATCCCACAATGCATTGAAAATCAAGTAGTGACGTAAAAGGTTCAGAGGTCTATAGTTGCTAATTTTATGGAATACCTTTTCATCACTTGACAGAATTACCATAATTTGCATTGCTGTATAAAACTTTACAACTTCTACTATATAGACAGCCGTCAATCAACTTAGTACAATGCAGTTTGGTGCATAGAGATCTTGATTGACCAGCAATTTTAGTAAATTTGAGCACATCTGTTTGTATCATTGTGTGCAGTCAGTAAGCAAAAGACTGAAAGCAAGCTAATTTTCTCAACATTTTCAATGATATGTACTGGATGGCAATCATGTTGATATGCTAAAAGTTCAATAGTTTTGTTTTTCAAATGCCTTTCTTTATGACATTACCCCCTTTTCTGAGCTTTTATTTTGTTCCTGATTTACTCATACATGTAATCTTCATTCTCAACCAGTATCAAGCAGTAGTGAAACAAGCAGAAAGAAGTCCTTACATTTGAAACAAAAAGGAAGAAGAAAAAMCGATGAAGAGGAAGGCGAAATWCTGAGTGACATTTCYGATGGCGAATCAGGTCAAAATAAACCAAGAATTAGAGGCGCAAGCCGTCACACAAGTGTTGATCATGATATTGAAATGGCTGATAAAACCACTGGACAAGGTACATGTTTACAAATTAAAAAATAATCCTCGTTTACTACATGTAGATTTGCACCCAAAAGACAAAGCTTGACATTGAATTTCTACTTATATGAACTTGCAATATAGTTGGTTCTGACTATTTATTAGGCTCCCCTTCAATRCAAACTAAATGTTTGGCAAAGCTTAACTTTCATTATTCAAAGCAACTTGTACATGTATCTCATAAAAGGACTCTTGTTTCAAGCCCCATCAAAAACTTACATTTTGTTATGAAATTTTTAGTTGAAGCTTCAAATAAAGAACAAGAAGAAAGTGAAGAAGAGAGTTCASAAGAAGATAGTGATGACAGTAGYGAAGAAGACAATGAACAAGACAACAAACCAATTGAAAAACCTTCACAACAAAAATCCAGCGAAGAAGAAGAAGAAAGTACAGATTCTAGTGAAGAAAGTGATGAAAGCTCTGAAGAGGAAGAAGAAGAGGAAGAAGCTGCAGAAAAAAGCAAAGTTGAGGTASAAGAAAAGAAAAAAACAGAAGYTAAAGAAGCAAAGACAACAGAAGAAAGCAGTGAAGATGAAAGTGAAGACGACAGTGATGAAGACAGTGAAAGTGAAGACTCAGAGGACAGTGATTCCAGTGAAGAAGAAGAAGAACAGCAAAAGGAGACTTTTCCTGTCAATGCTGACAACAAGAAAGCAAAGAATGAAGTTGATTCAGGTGTTAAAAAGTCAGAAAAACATCCTAGTTCTAAAGTTTCYGAGGTTCCTGAAAGACCAAAGCACAAGGGTYATAGTTCTAGAGACGATTCAAGTCGACATCAAAAGGATGATCGTTCTAGAGGAGATGAAAGAAGGTCTCGTCATGAACAACAGGGAAAAAGTGTTGATTCAAGAGAAAGAAGAGACAGAAAGCTTAAAGAAGACTCTGATAAAGTAAGTAGAAAAGAAAAGGCAGGTACTACTAATGATAACAAACAATCAAGAGAGCTAAAAAGAATTGATAAAGAAAAAGCTGATAGTTCAAGAACACGCGATAGGTCTGAAAAACAAGAAAGAATTGATCCCAAAAGCAAACGAAAGGACTCAAAACCAYCTGAAGATCAAACAAAGAGCAATAGAGATAGAGACTCTAAAARCAACTCAAGTAAAACCAATGAAAAGAACAAAGAAACAGCAAAAAACAAAGAGAAAACATCCTCCAARCTTCTAACTGATGAAGAAAGACTTCAGTTTTCAACAGAAGTTGTTGAGCCTGATAGTGATAATAGCCACGAAAGTGATCAGGCTGATGAAGGTTCAGATGAAGAAGAATTAGACGTCAGTCAGTCTCAAGAAGAAGAGAAAGAAGA